AAAAAAAAAAAAAAAAAAAAAAGAAATTCATTTATTATTTAAAAATATTAAATCTAATAAACTAGAAAAAAACACCCAGAAGACAAATCATTCTTCATCTTGTCTCCTAATCAGAACCACGCCTTAATTTCAACCAAAGAAAAAGAAAGAAGATAATACGACCTTGTTAAATAGAGAAAGCTCAACATAGATTAAGATCAGCACATCAGGAGAAAAATTAAATACATCTTTCAAACACTAACAATCAAAACCAAAGGGGATCTAACAAAATCCACGATAAAAGTAAAAAAATTGTTCATTTCGAAGAAAGGTGCCATAGGAGTTAGAGATTTACGGTTCAGGATTCATGGTTGGATGCGTAATTCGAAGGCGAAGAAGAAAATCTTACTCGTCTCTAACACTGCCGCCTCCAATTATGATGAAGAAAGAACAAGATTTGAAGTTTGGTAGGGTTGATTGCGCCGAATATCTTCAAGATGCCATTGTTTGCCCTCCATATTTTCCCACGAATTCTGAAATTTTTCTCGTTTCTCTCCACTTTCCCGGACTTTTTCACACGATCTGGGACGTTTTTTGCTGAGTCACACCGTCAAAGACACTGTTTAGTTTTAAACAGTGGGTTTCACTACTTTCAAGCCACGTCAGATAAAGTTAGATAAAGACAGATCTCACTGGAGAGATAAATATGAAGACGGTGTATCAAAAAATGACATGGCTTTAATTTTTTTCCCTTGACAGCCAAGCATTGGAGTTGCTCTAAAAGAGTCCATTGAGAATTAATTGTGGACAAAATTTGATCCTACTCTTAAAAATTTTTAATCGTTTACCTTACACTCACATATATTCATACATATATTAACAGATGAAATTCACCCAATCTTGAGAGAAAAGCTAGACATAGACATGGCCCCGAAAAGCTGCAGTTCCAAGAACCAGGACCGTGCCCTTGCAGTTCAATTGGGTCTCGGTTCACACTTTTTTTTGGTCCTGGCCGGGCTGGGACCGGGCCGGTTCACCAGCCCGGCCCGTGGCCAGGCCCGTTGACTGGCCATCTCTAGCTAGACAGACCGTCTCAAGTGCTATGATATTTTACTGTTCCAAATTTCACCCTAGTTTTGTATGCTACGGAATTGAATTGACAGCTCTGAGCCAATGTACCTTTTTTCAAGCTGGAAAAAGGTGGCACTTTTGGCCTTTATATATTCGAATCTTTAATTTAATAATATTACTTCTCAAAAGCATGAGAGAGAGAATGCTTTTCAAAAGCATCACAACTTTGAAGAAAATAGAGAAAGACATGTTCATGCACAGTACGAAAAGAGACAAAACATCACATGGCAAACATGATAAAAATCCAAAACCGTCTTGGTACTTGTTATGTGAGGGAAAATACTTTAGTCCCGTTACGAAATGGTTCGTTGCGCTCCCATCACGAAATGGTTCGTGAGAGATTTTAGCCTTTACATATGTATGTAAGTTAATTATTATAGATAATATATGGCTAAAATCTCTCACGAAACCATTCCGTGACGGGAGTGCAGTCTTTTCCGCTATTTGATACTTACAGTTCGCCATCACTTTCATTCATACCAAAATTTCTCTACTAAATATTTGTTACTGGTGACAGAAAGTTGAGATCCATATACTTTTTTTTTTCTTCTTCCTTTATATATAAATATAACTAACTGCAAAAAAAGGGGAAAAAAATCTCTTCATCTTGTCTTAGAAGGAAGAGATTCCAAAATGAAACCAAAATTGCTACACAACACAAGCTGCAAAAGACTACTAAATTCATCCAACTCTACTTAGTCAAGCATTTTGGGAAGAGGAAACATTGAAACTCCGTGTTAAAAACTCCTCATGCTCTCAAAAATCTGCAAAAATACAAAAATCAAAGTCATAAAAGCGGAGATTCTACGGTTCATCGGGGTTTGTAACGATTAGATCAACAATCCGGTTACATGATGATCTAACGGTTACAAATCCTGAAAGAATGATTATGTAACGGGAGAGATTAGTCAACAAACTAAAAAGATGAAAACAAGCATAAGCTTACCATCCTTTTTCTTCACTGCACCTCTCGCGAACAGAATGCAGATGACCAGAAACCCGACTCCGGCTGCCCCGCCTAATATTATAGCCATCGTCTTTCCGGTATTCGGCCCATCCCCTGTTTATTAATCAAGCACAATATATATACATTTTAATAAATCCAAATATCAACATATACAAGAGCACAAATTTTGCTAACAGGGCAGCTTAACCTGAGGAAGAAGAAGAGGAGGATGATGAGTATGAAGAAGAATATGGAGAATTGAAGGAAGCAGAGGCGGATTTCTTGGGCGACCCATTCGGGCCATACCCGTACCCGACAAAGCACTTGTCCAGGTAGACCCGACCCGCAACCGAGCTCCCGCACTCGACCTGCGCCCTCTGCACCGCAATCCGCACGCAGTCAGCGCAGTCGGCGGCCCCCACGTCGCCCTCGCACTGCCCCATCACGTACACGGACTCGGCGCTCGCGGAGTAGAACCCGTCCCGGACGCCGTTGCCGCTCATCCCGCTCTCCAGCGCGCTCAGGGCCGTGTCCCTCCTCTCCTCGAACCCTTGCCCGCCGGCGCTCTTCTCGCTGCAGTCCTTGTACAGCATCTCCATTCCTGACACCCTCGAGTACCCCGACACCTCGTACGACATGTAGCAGCCGGCGAGGTGCAGCCGGGCGGCGACGGGCCGGCCGCCGCAGAGCCGGTCGATGAGGATGGGAAGCTTGCTCACGCAGCTGTAGCAGTCCACGTTGGAGAGGTCGCCCCGGCACTGGAAGAGGCCGTCGATGGAGTCCCGGCCGGCGGCGGCGGCGGTTGTCCGGAAGAACTTGTTTCTGGAGGACTGGGCGACGAGGGTGCCGAACACGGTGGAAATTGCCTGGGAGGAAGCGCCGGAGGGGTCCGAGAAGGACTGGTTGGAGCAGCCCTTGTAGACGACGGTGGTGGAGTCGGGTTCGGGCCGGGAATGCGGGGCAAATCGGAGGAGGATGGCTAGAAGGGTGAAGAGAAGAGGGAGGGGTTTTGGGGGGTTCCCCATTTGGTGATGTCTCACTCTCAGATGGATTAAATCATCGTAGAAATTGAAAAGGCTCTCCGTCGGAGCAGAAATCTGTATTATCTTCTACCGGCACAAGCGCAGCTAGAGGAGGAGCTGTGTTAATGACCCTTTAGATGTGTGTTTTTTTTTTTCTTTTGGCATATTCAAATGAGAGAACACTTGAATAGAACAAGAAATAATGGGGTTGGTTGGAGGAGGGCACAGGACGCGGTGTGGGCCAGTAGGAGAACAAAGGAATACAAAAAGTTATTTTAAAAATTTGATTTAAATTTGAAAAAAAGAGTAGAATGAATTTGTTTTAGTGGGATTTTTTAGATGTGGTTTTCAAATTTTTTGATTTTCCTTAAATATCATTTTTTTTGGTAATTATTAGAGATTCCTAGTTATTATTGATTTATTCATTTTGCAAAATCTATACTTATATAATAAGTTACTAGTACGTATCCCATGCAATGCACGGGACAGAGATATTAAATGAGTTATT